TTCTATTCTATTCTATTCTATTCTATTCTATTCTATTCTAAAGTACAGTGAGAGCATATGCATCAAAGACAAATTCCTTGTGTGTCCAATCACACTTGGCCAATAAATAATTCTATTCTGTTCTTAATTCAATGCCGTACAACTTGGCTATAAAAGAAAAACCCACCACGGGTTGACGATCATAAACCAAAGAGGAACAGATTCACCTTCAGGGACATTTTAATGTTTTGATGCAGACCTCTGAGAAGAAAACAGGTACAGGATTATACCTCACTGGTGAAGTTTCTTTTGGGGGGGGGGATTAAGGGGGAAACTCCCTACATCAAGCAAATCCTAAATGATTCGTGCTTTACACAGGTCATGAAATGTTATCCACAGGATTGCTCTCTAGTCAAGGTTTTAAAGTGGTCATCAGAAGGATGCCAAGTTGCTTATCAGCAAGAGCACACCTGTTTCTTAAAGCAGTCTGCAAATTCTTTGCAGTTTTATCTTGGCATCTGAGATAAGGACGATTTGGCCCCAAACACACAAGCACCTGTCAAAAAAATAAAATAAATGTTTGCCTTTCAAGTATGCCCAGGACAAGAGAAAATAATTTCGGCGTTTTGGAGGGTCAGACAGCAAGGAGCCTATCCTTGGATTCCAACTCCAAGTGCTCCTCATATTCTCTTTTTAACACAAAGCATGGCCTGCGTTACCCTTTTCTCACAAAGACTACACAACTGAGAAGGAGCAGAGTCAAACGTTTGGAGTGGGGTAGCCAATTTAGGTTCCTGAGAAATCAGGAAACTTGGGGTGCTGTCTTCCCCCCCCCCCGCCCCCAACTCCAAAATTAAAAACATATTAATGGGCTGAGGGTAAACGTTATTGGTTTCCTACGATGAATATCTGACCACATTTAGTGCAGACCAATTGAAGCACAGACAATCGATGTACAGGCTGAGACCTTCAAGCTGCTCAATTCATGGGAATCTTCCCAGCTCAGTGGGGGTTTTTTTAACTTCCCAGGAAGTTGTTAACAGCTCACAAACAGAGTTCAGTCCTGGGCTATCAATACCAAAGCCACAAGGACGTGGATGGATTCGTTGTTAACTAGGACGGAATTACTTTCAATGGTCCCAGGGTAGCAAAACTAGGCGAGGAGCTGACATAAAAGACAGATTCCCAAACATCTATAATGGGATTTCCAAACATTATTTTGGAGAAGGTTTTGCCCTGTCTCAGTTCCCTCCCCAGTGGCTTTTTGGTTATCCTGACTGCTAAAAGGCATCATTCACACCACATGATCCAGGAGACAACGACGCGACCCACAATTTTCTCCTCCTTTTTTTACAGTCCCGAAGGCGTCAAGTTTTAAAACTTGGCTGGGTGAAATGTCATTTCCTTCTCCAGCAGTGGTTTTTTTTTGTTTTTTTGGCTCATTTTGATTTGATTTGATTTGCATCATCACACCACAGGATCCAGCCAGGACACGATTATGCACCATTTTCTCCTCGTTTTTTTAACAATCCCGAAGGTGTCCGGTTTTCAAACTCAGGAGAAGCTAGAAAGAGGGAGTTTCTAGTGTGCCTTTTTTTTTTTCCACCCCACCAAATCACTTTTTTGATTGCTATTAGCAGGGCTTTCGGATGTGGAAGTTTGGCTGGGTTTATTGCAAAGCCCTCAACGGGACGGAAACAAAATGAATCGTGATAGGAAAAAAAAAAACCACGAAGCCGTCTCTCTTTTTTTTTTTTTTGCCATCTCAGCTCTTCCCCCACAAACCAGCCAACGGGGTCCGTCCTGGGGGTTGAGCGTGGAGGTAGCTTGGTCAGCACGGGGGCGAGAGAGGCTGCGGTAGGTCAGGATTGCTGAGGACTTCTCAGCAGAACATCCTCAGAAAGGGTTTTCATCCTAGGAGTGGCATCTGGAAGGCAAAGAAGAGCAAAGGATGTCCTGGGACCAGTTGCACACTGGACACGCACCCATGCTGGTGGTCGTTAAGATCTTGCTGTTCCCAGCAAGGAAATGTGGCGATTTGGAGAACTGTGAAGTGGATTCTTCCCCAGCTTTTGGGAGGTTTGGACCAACACATGGATCCAGCTGGGGGTTGCTTTTCCCTTCTTGTGCAACCTTTGACGATAGCAAGCCGGATTTCACGTCGGTCTGGCGGACGAGGGACCAGAAGTGACTTTCAAAACACGGGCGGCGGAGCGCAAAAGTCTACGGAAGAATTCTCCCATCCGACGCTTGTGGTTTTCGCCTGGTCTCCTCACCCGTTTTTCTTATCGTAGCAGGCCCCGGCTTGGGAGTGTGATGGGCCTTTGTGGTGGGGGGAGGGGGGTGGGTGGGGGGGCAGAGATAACCAAGGGCTTCAAGAGAAAGGGGGAAAAAAAAAAAAAGATTGTTCTTCTAAAATTCCACGTAGCAAAATTAAGGCGGTGGCGGTCTCATTCGAATGGACGGGGGTCTTTGGACAGGAGGGGCTCGGCGTCTTCGTTGATCGCCGGAGACGGTGGGGTGGCTGAGGCTGTTCCCACCAGGTTCTGGAAGGTTTCCTGCTGGTGCTGCTTGGCCCTGTTATACAGCATGACGCCGATGATCACCAGCACTGTCCCGATGGCCGAGAGGCTCGTGATCTTGTTCCCGAAGACAATGACGCTGAGCCAGATGGACAGGGCGTGCTTCACCGTGCTGGCCACACTGGAGCGGGTGGGGGGAGGGAGGACAGGAAAAGAAGGAGGGGACGGAGAAAAATCACTTACTCAGGAGGTGCCTGTGTATAAGAGGTAGGATTCTGGTTGGGTCAAGGCCCAATTAGATAGCCTCAGAAAACCTACTGCAAATCTATCTGTATAAAAGCGAAAGGCCCCTCACGCATCGTCACAAAATCTCCAGAATCGCAAAGCCTACAAACTTGAAATTTGGCACGTCTGTTCCTCTTGACTTCTAGGTGTTCGTGAAGAAAGCATTTTTTGAAATGACCATCAGAGCATTTAGAGTATTTCCTATATTACTATTATTATTATTATTATTATTATTATTATTATTATTATTATTATTA